TGGAGAAATAAACTTGGGAGTATTCAACAATGGTACTGAAAGCCACATAACTGGATGAAATTACTAAGACAGTGAATGGAGATTTAAAAAAAAATAGAGAAAGTGGACCAACTCTTGATAGGATTGGGGAAAATCAGATTATTTCATGACATTATTGGGAAGGTTTCCCTTTGTCAACATAACACACACACACACACAAAAGCTGTATAAATACAGGTGACTTGAGGGGCGCCTGGGTGGCTCAGTCGTTAGGCGTCTGCCTTCGGCTCGGGTCGTGGTCCTGGGGTCCTGGGATCGAGCCCTGCATCGGGCTCCCTGCTCGGCAGGAGGCCTGCTTCTCACTCTCCCACTCCGCCTGCTTGTGTTCCCTCTCTCGCTGTCTCTCTCTGTCAAATAAATAAATAAAATCTTAAAAAAAAAAAAAATACAGGTGACTTGATCATCTTCAAAGAAAATACTCAAAATTCTGAACTTCACAGCTTCACAAGCCTGGAGGAGGTCATCTTAGGTCACCAACTGTACTTCCTAAACTTTGGGCACAAAACAAAAATGAACCCAAACATATCTAAACAGTTGGACATGATTTCTTATGAATAACTAATTCTCCAATAATATACCCATAAATGGCATAATTACAAGACAATACTAGGGAAGGTAAACCAGTCGATTTTAGGTGTTTGCAACACATAAGCTCTTCTAAATGTGTTCATAAGATTTTTGTAAGTGAAAGGTAGGTCTATTTCATTACAGGAATCTGAATATCCTATTATTCCAAACTCTTAGTGATACCCTGATTATGAGAAAACTAAGTTTACGTTATATTCTTCAACTTCTGAACTCCCTTGGTTGCATGCAACTTATTCTAAGGCAAGAAAAAAATTTTCCCTTTACCATTCTAGGTTCTTGGCTAAGAACCACCCTCCCCCTGCCCCCTCCTCCCAATAAAAGAGTAACAGGAGAAAAACAAACAGAAGTTTAGTAACATGTATACCTCCTGTATACTTGGGAGACATCCAGGAAAACTGAGTAACTCTCTAAAATGGCCCAAGCCATGATCTTAGATACCTTCTACTGCTAAAGACAAAAGAAGATGTTGGGGGCAGGTTGTTGTCAGGGAGGAAGGCCAGTTATGGGAGGTTATCAGGAATAGTGCAGTAAATAAGGGTACAGTTGTTATACAGATTTAAGTCAGTGACTTCTCCATCAGTAAGACTTTCTAGAGATTTAGTCATCCTCCTCTCCCTGGTATAGAGAAAGAGAGAGATGGAGAAAGACAGAGATAGAGAGAGACAGAGAAAGAGAAACATCCTTACAAATGGAGACTTCCCTTATAAATATGTATTTTTTTTACAAAAGGGTAACTTCTACTCAGTTTTCAGAGCTTCTCTTATGTCTGCTGTTTTGTAAAAATAATCAGCTCCAAGTAATCCTTATTCTAAAGAGATATTTTGGGGTGGCAAATTCTGTTCCCACTCACTTTCTTTCTTACATGACTTATTCTCCAAAACTTATATCTTATTAAGCTTATATGACCAATGCAATTCTCCTGTATATACTTGTAAAATCCAAAGTCCTATCCTGATCCCATTTGGAGGCTCCAAATAGGATAGCTCTTTAAATAAAATAATGATCGGGCACCTGGGTGGCTCAGTTGGTTAAGCGACTGCCTCCGGCTCAGGTCATGATCCTGGAGTCCCGGGATCCAGTCCCGCATTGGGCTCCCTGCTCAGCGGGGAGTCTGCTTCTCCCTCTGACCCTCCCCCCTCTCATGCTCTCTATCTCATTCTCTCCCTCAAATAAATAAAATCTTTAAAAAAATAAATAAAATAATGATCAAATGCTAACCTCAGGCAGCAGAACATCTTGTGAAGCTTAGAGAACATGGTTATATATAGGAAATATTCCCTTCCTGTCATAGATATGGGTTCAAGTAGGTCCAAATATACAATGCTAAGTGGGGTGCTCACCTGAGACAATGCTTTTTTTTTTCTTTTTTAAGATTTATTTATTTGAGAGAGAGACAGAGAGAGAGCGCCCACAGAAGTGGGGTGAAGGGCAGAAGGAGAGTAGCGGAGGGGGAGGGTGAGGAGAGAGAATCTCAAGCAGACTCCCTGCTGAAATTGAAGCCCAACACAGGACTCCATCCCACCACCATGAGATCATGACCTGAGCCAAAATCAAGAGTCCCACAGTTAACTGAGCCACCCAAGTGCCCCTGAGACAATGCTTTCTTAATAATAATAAAAAAAGTCAATTAGCTATACCGTCAAGAGGTAATGGGAAAGGTTTGTCACCCAAAGGTGCATTGTCAAATGAAAGTCTTCTTCCTAGAAAACAACCACAACTAACACTTGACTACCAGAAGGCCAAGGTCATATCTGACTCAAAAGTGTAAACATCAGACTGAGTCTCTGGTAAATTCCACTCAAGATATGTAACACTAAATAAATCCCTTGAAATATTTGAGCTTCACTTTCTTCATCCGCAAAACAGGAATGATGACATAAAACTTGCCTAGGAATGAACGTTGCGAGGGCCAAAGGAGATAATGCAGGGCCAGGGTTTTGAAACTGTCAAGTTTTGGACGCAAGTTAATTATGTAACAAATGTTAGAATAGCATTACCTGCAGGACTATATGTTTTCAATGATTTTGACCAATTTAAGCTTACTTAGGTCAGGCTTTTAGAAATTGTTGGTAAGACTCAGATTTAGGTATCAGGAGTCTGATGATGAAATTACAGAAACTGTGTGTTGTCCCCTGGTCCAAGAAGGTCATCTGTTGTTCTCCCGCTTTTGTTACTAGTAATCAAAAGTTGACCCTAAACGAATTCCAGCTCCTTGAAAGGTATTTTTTTCTTTCTGTACCAAAACGGTCCTTCTCCCCGTTTCCTCGCTCCAGTCTTTTCTAGGCCCCTGCAGGGGGACTACATTTCACAGAAACCCCTCCATTCCCCGGAGGGGAAGGTGCTGTGACGTCCTTCCACGCCCGGTCGGAACACCTTTTCCCTTCCCCCGCCCGCCGGCCCGCCGTCGCGCCAGCCCCCCGTCCCCGGTTCCCGGCAGCGCGGCCCGAGGTCTCGCAGGGGCCCCGAGCGCGGCTGCGGACGCTCGGGAGGCAGCGCGCCACGGCGCAGGCTCCGCGGCCCGAGCAGGCGCGTCAGCCGAGCTCGGCGGTGGCGCGGGCGGCGGGGACGCAGCTGCCCCCCGCTCTGCGCCCGCCGCACCCCCAGAAGCCACCGCCGTCTGGGCCTCGAGCCGCCGCGTCCTCGCCTGGCGGCTGCGGGCGAGGACGCCTCAGGTAAGTGTCGGGGGCTCTTGGCTGGGGTGGGCGTGGAGGGCGGGAGAGGACCTGCAGTGGGAGGCGGCGGAATAAACGCTCTGCGGAAAGACGGGGTCAAGCCTGGTGGTGGAGGCGGGAGGAGCACTGCGGCGTGCAGGGGGAGGAGGCGAGCGCTGCCCTGCGCGGGTGAAGGGGGCGCGGGGCGCTCGGCAGCCGGGTGACGGCTGCACCGGTGCGGTGAAGTCCGCAGATACGCCCCGGAGGGAGGGCTGCAGAGAGCTGGGGGGAATTGGGGGAACGCAGGATTTGCGGGGAGGGCTCCTTGGCGTTGTTTTGTTTGTGAAGCTCCTTCAGTCATTGCAGCTGTCCACTTTGGAAGGTTGGAGGTGAAGACAGGGAGCATAGGGTTGAATTTCCCTTCGACCCTTCAAACCGTTAGGATGGCCCCCCTGTTTTCCTGGGGAAGAATGTGAAGGCGGGAGAAGTACCTGCTGCTGTGGACAGAGGTGTCTGGAAGCAGATGCCACCGTAGGATGGGGGAAGGGAGCGTCCAATGCTGGAAGTTGACAGAGGAAAGCCTTCTGTTGTTGCTCTTGGCATGATAAGTCCCCTCTGTTGTCCTCGGTAGAGGGGGCCAGGGAAGAAGCCCTTCTGGCTTGCCATAGGGGCTGTAAAAGATAAGTGGGAAAAAATAAGAATTCCTGGGAGAAAGGAAGGGGCAAAATATGACATAAGAGAAGCAAAATTATAAAGGCGAGATAGTAATTGAGTGGATGTTGAAGGATCTGATAGATCTCTTAGTCTGCAGAAAACAATGATGAAGAAACAATTTATGGTTTGGAAATGAAGGACTGCAAAAGAGGCTTATATATTCCAGAATATTAAAGTTCTTCTTTTTTTCTTTTTTGGATGCATTGGACCGGCAAGAATATAATTCTTATTTGAGCATAGAAAATGTTATTAAAATAGGACTAAGAAGATTATTTGGAAGAGTCTAACCATACTTGCTGGGTTTTTTTTCATATTATGTTACCTAGAATTTGTGGAATCAAAAATCATCTTCGATAACTGTTAATAACATGAAAGTGGGAAAGCCAACAAGCTACCGTAAATCAATATGCACCCTTTTTGGGTAAAATGTAACTTGCAAATTTAATGGGTATAAATAAAAACAATGAATTTAAAGTGTGAAACTTTTGATTCTAATTTTTTCCTTTATCTCTGTCAATTCTTTAAGTTAAAATTGTCTTTTCCATTAGAAAAGCTTTATCATTTTTGAAAAAATATACATGCAAAATTCAAAAATATAGGAATTGAAGAAAGAAGTAAAAAATCCAAATGTACAAGGAGAGGGTAACCATTTAAAAACTGTGTTAAACATCCTTACAGGTAGCTTTCTAAAGATACATTGATAGATTGTGCAATTCAATTCAATGTCAATATACAATTGTCTGTAGCTATAAAATCAGAAATTTTGCATACCTTTTTTATACCTTTTGCATACTTTTATACCTCCTTGGGATTGTATTTTGTATGAGCCATTATTCTATTTAACCCTTACTGCTAAACATCACAAATATATAATGAAGGCTAACCACATAGGTTCGGTCAATGAGAATTTCATGTACAAATGCTCTTGTCAATTGGGTAGTAATGGTCATACTCCTTAGAGTTGTACTGTTATCATTTTATGTAAACATTTTCTTATTCTTTCTTGTAGATTGATCTCCTGAAATTTAACTTTCAAGATGAAGTTTTTATCGGCGATTGCCTTTTTTATTTTAATTTCCTTGTGGGTTGAAGAAGCTTATTCTAAAGAGAAGTCTTCAAAGAAAGGGAAGGGGAAAAAGAAGCAGTATCTATGCCCATCGTACGTCCTTCATGTCTTATATTATTATATGGAGAAATGTTACTGCATTTTTTATCAAAGTAAGGTGGTTTGAAGCATATCAGCAGAACTTTTCATATGTACCCCTTGGTTTCACAAGAGAGATTTAGAATGTGATAGCTAATTCCTAGTGTTTAAGGTAAAGTTTTATAAAGTTTTATTCATGCTCTGGGATTACATAATTTCTATACATCTTTTACAAAATTAGAAAAAACATTACTATTTCTTTCTTACCCCAAGTATGCAACTATAATTGGATACTGAAATTCCATGTTTTGAGCAAATTAGCAGTTCAAAAAGATGGTTTTTAAAAAATATTCCTAAAAATGAATATCAATTTAAAAATTAGCTAAAATATGATTTTTAAAGTGTATTTATATTGATGCATGGAAGAAGAAAATTCAATAGTAGATCAGTTTTCTATTTTAATATTTTTCTGCAAAGGGCTTAGATTGGAAAATTAGGATATTTTTCAAAAAATATGTCACTAAATTTGAAGTTACTTGTAAAAACAAAATCTAAATCCGAATCACCCACTCCTTTTGTAGTTTGGATTTTTTTTTTTTTTTTAATAGGAAGAGCTAATATTACTGGTGAATAACAGCATATTCTTAATAATACCTAATGGTTAGAGCAATTGAAGAATATCTAAGTAAATAACTTTCACAAATGTAAGGTGTTTTCAGGTAATAAGATCACATATGCATTGATATGGAATAAAAATTAATTTCCTGTTATAGGTCATTTTTTAATTAATATGTTTTAAATGCCATATTGGTCACAGGTAACATCTCAGCATCAACATTATTTAAAGGTAGACTATTATAGTTTTGTAGATATTCGGTATGGTATAGTAAGGAACATTTTGGGAAGTTTATTTTGTTAAGAAAGGATATTTGAATTGGCATTTTGGGATGGATATCTGTATGACTATGTGACACCAGAAGTCTGGAGACAGTATCATGATGCACATATAGTCTAGCATTAAATAAAGCTCCCGATTTAGAAGTATCTCTTGGTTTTCAAGTTTATTAATGCTACTTTTTCCAGTGCTGCAGAGTCTGCTGTCAGGGCCAGATTTCTGGCTGTATTACAGGATGGCCCTGAGTTATATTCATGTGTTCCTCCTTGGCCATCTGCCCAGTTGGGTATGAAGTATCTGATGGGGCAGGTTTAGGAATAATCACCATCTGCAACCATTACTACTCTTCAGTGTTCAGAGTTTTTGTGTCACAACCAGGAGATAAGCCTGTTAGGGAACTGGACATTGTCAGGCCTTACTCCTCCCAAGCGAAAAGACACATTCTCATGTTTTAGATATTTTTATATTAACCTTTTACTTGATGAATGTTGGCATATTGGTACAAACTGTTGCATATGTGTTACAGTCATGGTGATTCTATGTGTGGAGTCAGGTCAACTTCATTCGGTCAGGTTTCTCTATATGTGAAGCTGATAGGACTCTTTTCCACTACCTCCTGCCCATTCCCCCCCCCACAATCAAATATCATGAATCAAAGAGTTTGGAAGATGGCTACAGCAAGCCTTAGAACTATCACATATCTTTTTTTTTTTTAATTTATTTATTTTAGAGTGGGGGAGGCAGAGGGAGAGAATCTTCAAGCAGGCTACCCACTGAGTGTGGGGCCCAACATGGGGCTCAATCTCACGACCCATGAGATCACGACCTGAGCCGAAACCAAGAGTCAGATGCTTAACCTATGGAGCCACCCTGACACCCCTAACTACCACGTATCTTACGAGAGTCCTTTAGAGGACATTCTATCCCTTTTCAGAATTATGCTATTAAATTGTCTTATATATAAACTGGCTATATATTTCCAGTGTGTATTGCTATTTAGGACAGATTTTTAGTTAAATCTAGTAGATTAAGAATGAAACAATAAGGTTCTCTTTGGCAAATAGAAGGCCCAACATATACTTGGTAAGCCCGTATCACAGTATTATAGATATGTTGTGTAATTAACTGAAATTTTATTTTTGAAATTTTCTACCATGAAATTTAAACTTTATTTTATTTATTTTATTTTATTATAATTATGAGACTAGATAAAACTTTATTAACAGTTGTCATGGTGATGCCTCTAAAAATCTGACTTATTAAAAAGCAGGTGTGCCTTGGAGAATAAGGTTTATATATTTTTTTTTTGTTTGAGCATTTTATTAAGAATTTTGACTTATTAACACTGAATTATGAACTTCAGAAGACTAGAGTTTTCTATGGCTGTTTGGATCCATTATACTAAATTTCTTTGAACATCCAGATTAAGAATCTCAGCTATAATAATGTGCTGTGAAAGAATATGCAAATCATTTGTTTCTTAGAGGATGATCCAGTTAGTCCATCTTGTATAGGTTGATAACGTATAAGATATTTTGACTAAGAGGAATATTTGAGATTGTGAAATTTAGGTACAGATTACCATAATGCTCTTCAATATGGTGAAATCTTGTTCAGTGATATTTTTATTCATTTAAATTGTTTTTTTTTTCTTTTTGAATAGGGTTGATGAAGCAATGAGGTTGTATATACACATGCAGTTAATGTGTGAGTGTAGCAAAAATGAGCAAGAATTTCCTGTTTTACTGGTGTAACAATATTCTCTCCCCCAACCAAGACTTGTAAATAAGAAGAAAAAGGTTTTAAAATGTAGAAGAAATAAAACGCTTGGGGTCCTTAACATTCTAGAGTTTAATTTTGATGTTGAGCTTGAATTGTATCATAAACTTTCCTGGCTCTTTTACTATATATTTTTTAACTCATGTTGTTTTGAGATGCTATAACATAAATTTATGCTATTGTTTTTTGATGTATAAGTGAAACAGTAGTACCACATTGACAAGCTATCTGATAAATTTCCTTTCAAAAACTTTAGAAATTTCATACATATTAAAATATAAGAAATAAACAGTAAATGAGAAAAAAAATTGATAAAGTCCTTGGATACAGTAAGCTTTTTATTTTAAAGCTTGAATTTGACGTTAACCTTCATCTTTTGGGTCTCTCCTCTGATTATCTATAGTCTGCCTGAGTGATTCTGTCCAAATCTATGGCAGCAACTACCATCTATTCACTGTTAACTCCTAAGGTTCTATGTCCATCCCAGAGTTCTTTGAAGAATGCCATATCCATACATCCAATATTTTCTACCTGGCTATCCTATTTTGACCTCAAACTCAACTTAAAATGATAAAACCTGAGTTCAGAAATCCTCCCCACCACTCCTGATGCAGTGTTTCCTTATCCAACAAATGATACCACTACCTCTTTTGCCAACTGAAATGCTGGGGATCTCCTTAGACCTTCTCTTTCTACTGAAGCATCTCAAATTCAGTAGTGTCCAAGACTTCTCAGTTCAGAGTCTTTCTCATCTCCGGAATATGTCTTTCATTTTCACTGCCCTGTAGGCACTGCTTTACTTACTCCTCTCTACCCATTTTGGTGAACTCTTTATTAGTCTCCCTGCTTCTTGTCTTCCTGCATCAGTTCATATTGGACACTGACCCTAGAGGATGTTTTCTAAATCTTTAATCTAGGCAAGCAATTCCAATGCTTAGAGCCCTTCAACGGCCTCCATAGTTTTCTGTGGCTCCAGAAACAAAGCTCTTGCTGAACTGGCCTCTGGCTCATTTCTTGGCTCCACACAAAAAGCTCTTACTGAACTGGCCTCTGACATCTCCAGCAGTATTTTTCTATCCCAGCCCCTCTCCCAACCCAACACATATGAGTCAGGTCTCATATACACTTGACCTTTCACCCCTTGGAAGTATTCTTCCCTTTACCTGAAATTCCAGTGCTTTCTTTTTTTCTTTAGTTAACTCCTACCTCAGTGGTCTTGTCCAAATCCATGGCTATAAATATCATCTTTCACGGTTGACTCTTCTTAGAAAACAAAATTCAACTGAGTAAATTTGAAGTTCTAATTGGCTTTATTAAGCAGTTCATAAATCAGGCAGCATTCCATCTAGCAAGTAGAGAGATGCTCTGAGGAGTTGTACAAAGTGGAAGGTTTTTATAGGAAGGAGAATGTGGCAAGAGGTTATTAGCAAAAGAAAGGATTGCTTCAGGCAAGGCTACCTTTCCTTAAGGGGAAGGGCAAGGGATTTTATTAGGTGGATTACCTCAGTTTTGGGGGGATGGAGAGGGCATGTGTGACAGATTCCTCATTGATGCTGATCAGAAAATTCCTGACCAGTTTAAGACTACATTTTTAGGGTAGGTTGAAATGCAGTTGGGTAAGGTATTAGGTCCATATTTGGTGACTTGCCTTAAGTGACACCATTTTGGGCCAATGGTTTTCTTTTTAACACATTTAAGTCTTGTATGCCTGGCCCAGACTTCTCTCCCAAATAACCAGATTTTAAGCTGACGGTCCCATAATGACCTCAAACTCAAACCTTGTTATCTCCTTTGGGAAACCTTTCCTAATCTGGTAATTTGATTTACATAATTGTACTCTGGCCTCTGTAGTTCCCTAATTGCCTATCATGTTTATAATACTGTATGGTAATCATCAATTGTAATTTTCTGCTTTCCCCACTAGATTGTAAGCTCCTTGGGAGCAGCGTCTTATTGACTCAATCACCAGAGATGAGATCAATTTAGTGCCTGATACAAAGTATACATACAATAAAAATTTGTTTAAAGAGTGAATAAAAATCTAAAGATCTTTGGCTCTTATAAGTCATTATATTTGGATTTTGTTAAGGAACTTGAAAATAACTTGTATAGTCCCTATGGACCTTATTTAGAAATATGGTCTTAAGAGAGGGACAACTAGATGAGTTAACAACTGGGTAATTAGTGAAACATTTCCAACCTGGATGATGTTTTCTGGTGAAATTTTGGCCTTATCATGTTTAACATTTTATCAATGACTAAAATAAGCCCTTACAGAGGAAACACATATCCAAACTGAGGATCATGTGATTTGGGGACATGAAATGAATATCTGACCAGA